AAAGAGAAGCCTTCGGGGGGCACAGCGGGGCTCGGGCTCTAAAATGCAGGGCAGAAGCGGACAGCCTACCTTTTAACCACAGCAGGAAACACACACAGCGCCGGGGAAAGAGCTGGAAAAGAGGCGGCTAAGCCAAACCAAAGGAAGCGGGAGGGTAAAATACATGCACGCCAGAGGGTGTCTCCTCTTGGGCTTTTTAAAGCAGCAGCCGTGGCGCGAGTGAGAACACTCTGGCTGTGGCTGGTGCCACTGGGCAGAATGGGCAGGGTAGCTGTGAAGTCTGCAGAAACAGTCAGCTCATCAGAGGCGGGGTCCACCAGGGAGAGCAAAGAGTGAGCTTTCTCTCTCCATGTATTTGACTCTTGGTGACCTTCTGTGGGGGACAAGCCTACAACAGAACACGATTTAGGGGTTCCTGGGTTCCCTGAGAAAATACCATCACCATATCAAGTTGACTGTACCCCGTCTAGCTCTTAAAATCTACAATCTGGTTTCTACTTAATATGATTTCAATTTATTTGAGACACCCTGTTCCCTGAGCTTTAGAGGGGAAAAAAATCTATTCAGCGCACCCTTTGCCTTTTTTAACCCTCCACATCTTTTAGTAGCACATTACTAATGTGCTATCGCACACCCAAAAAGGCAAGAGAGGGCAATCCTTTAGTTTCTCAAAAGTAATTATTACCTACATTCAAAATGAAAACAAAAGCAAAGATGTAAGGTGAGAAGTTTCTAGACACTAACATCTCCTTAAAATTTCCCATGTTGCACCCCCTCTAAATTGGTAGAATTAGAATTATTTATACCCCCCCCCCAAAAAAAAACACCCCTCAACACAGCAGGACCTTTTGTGACAACAGTTATTAATACTGCCCATCATTTAATGTGGGAGGTGGTGCTGGTGGAACTGGTAGAGGCTGGTGCACAGAGGAGGGCAACTTCTCTGAGTAAGAGTTAACCATTTAAAACTTTATTGCTTTTCTGATTATAAAAATAAATACTCACTGTAGAAAAATTCAGATCTTTCAGAAATATGTACTGCAGAGAGTGAAAGCAATCCCTGAGAGTGAATCACTCCAGTTCTTCCCTCCAACATTTATTTAAAACAAAACTGTAGTTGTTTTTCAATGGGATCATCTGATGTTTAACCCAGCAACTTGCTTTTCTTGGTTAAGACTTTATTTGGCCTACTGAATAAATAAGAGATACATCACATCATTTAAAAAGGTTGTGTAGTAGTCTATAGAAAAGATGTTTTTACAATTATTTTACTTTGATGAACATTTTTGCTCACATATCCTTGTACACATGTGAAAGCATTTTTGGATATAAAATCCTAGATACGGATTTGCTAGGTCAATGCGTGCATGTGTTCATATTTTCATTAGACTGTTCTTAAATTTTAAATCTGGTCAGTGGCTTGAAATGGCATTTGCAATTCTTTGTTGCAAATTCTCTCGAACCATATCACCAAGTCTAGTTTTCTTTAATTCCCTTTTCAGGAGTCACTAAGGTAACAGTTTGGTGTCACAGGCTCCCTAAACAACCCCAGTTTGTCAGCGTAACAACTCTAGAGCATGTGAAAAACATTTGCCATTTTCGGGGGTGAGCTTTTGGATTTTTTTTTTTCTTTCAGATGGTATTAGCTTCAGGTATGTTTTAAGACTTTTGAGTAGGATTTAGAAAGACAGATAAAATAAGACAAATCTACTACCCAATCCCTCTCCCTTCCTTCATCTGCTGGAGAGAACATGATGGTGCTTTTGGGACAACCACCTGGGTTATTAGCTGCAGGCGGCCATATCTGCCAATGCTCATCTATTTAGGGTATGGGTACTATTTCTAGCAGTTTTTCAGTATTTGTCATATTAAACCTAAGCCACTAATTCTGACTACACTTCCATTTTGACAGCATAAAGAAGACAGACTGACTTTCAAGAGCAAAATACTTAGAATAGTACCTTCCTGAACCACCCATTCTACAGCGACTTTTGCTTCCTCTGATCTCACAGATTTTAAAATCTGTTATTCATTGACTTGGCAATTTTCCTTTGGACTTCAAAAAAAGATACAAAAGTTAAACCATTTAAGTGTTTATATAAATCAAAGGACTAACTATATTCTCCCCAATCTATTACATGCTTCATGAGAGGAGGGACTTTGTTTGGTTCACTGATGTTTCTCAGCATTTATGACAGTACCTGGCCTATAAAAGGTGTTCAATACATATTTGTTGAATGAATGATAAATTCTTGGAAGGCAGGAATCTTCTTATATTTTGCATCCCCATAGTAAATGCCAAGTTGCTGATGAAAATTAAGGGAAGAATCTTCATTCAGGAACACAACTTAAGACTTTCTTAGAAGCCAAGTGTGAAATATCCCTGACCTAAATAAAATTCAAGATTTTTTCCAGCCTTAACTTTTATGAAGTACTAGTTTTCAAAAAATTAGAATCCAAATATATATATACATGTATACTAAAATTAGAGTAAGAATAATTGGTTCTTTGACTTAGAAAGCAGTGTACTGATTTTTCTAAACCTTTAGATTATTATAAAGATCAGATTTGAGCATTAAACTATTTTGACCTCAAGCTGTATTCTATAAGGCCCTTTTTAAAAACAAAACAAAACAGAACCCAAACAAAAACATGGCATCAAGCTGTTAACTGCGGATGCCCCATAAACCTAAAAAAATATTTTTTAATGTTACTGTATAAGCAAGAAGGCAAAGGAAATATTTATGTACATTTTATATTCTGTACTTTGCCAACGGTGGTATGACACTAATGAGAGACATGTCTGCCTTCAAATCCATGTCAAATGTGCAGTTATTTGGATTTAAAGCCAATAAAAATAAAAGCAGTAAAAAAGTATAAAAAAGGGAGTCAGAGTGAAAGAAGGACCCATCTAAGCCTAGTCCATATTTTGAATAATACACAACATTTGGGGGAATAAAGGCAGAAAGAAAGTGAGAGAAAAAATACAAGAGTAAGTTTTAGAAAGTTACTCCAGAAAAAAGTCCATGTCATAAAACACATTTTAATTCTAGTCTTTTAGTACTTATTTATGTCAGACCACCTCTTACTGGATGTTTGGTTTCCTGTGTTGAGACTTAGAAAAATTACCTTGTGGTTAGAAAATAGCATAGTCTCAACACAGTTGACTGAAAAGACTATTTTTTTGGCTTACTATTTCTTACAACAAATTCTACTTTGAACCGAGAGTGAATTAATCAGATTTGAGATTAACTCTCACTGGTAAAACTGTAGTGAATATATTTAGTTTGCTTAAAAAAGAAAATGGACCATCTCTGGGAGAGGATTTTATACATAAGCAACTCAGAAAGAACAGGGCCTAGGATAAAGGAGAGTTTGTACTCTGTAAAAAAAAAAACACAAAAAAAGAATACTTGGGGGAGGGAAGATTTCATAAAAGAGAGTAGTTAAAGGAGGGCCCGTGCCCAAGTTAGAGTAGAGGGCAAAGTCTGAAGAACATCAACAACAGAAGGGTTCTTGGGGAAAACTAGAGCCGGGGGCGCTCCTATGGTTAATTTCCTAAAACAAAACGGTGAACAAGCATTCACCTTGCTGAGGCCATCAAGAGAAAGAATTGCTCCAAAAAAAATTTTTTTTAAACACACGTTATGGAAAAGACTGTAAAATAAAAATCATAACATTCTTCCTTGAGGTGGATGAAAATAAAAAATGAAGTGGGAACAGGGTAAGAAGGTATCATTGGTTTCCGTCGATTACGTTCGCAAGCGAAGGACGGGTAGGATCATACATCTTAAAGCGAACGGAAAACAGTCGTTCCTAAGAACCGCAAAAAAGCAAATTTCAACAATGAAGAAATTCCAATTAAATACGTAAAAATTCCTAAAAAAGGTTTAACTAAAAAAAATCTAACTGGCAGGCTATCACGTGGTAATATGAATATTATGCTTTTAATATTTATAAATTTCCGATTCAAAAAAAACAAAGTATGTATTATTTCTATTTTAAAAGGTGCTTTTAAAGCTACAGAAAGAAAAACAACGGTGATCTGCCTATTTTATTGAACGGTTCGTGGAAAAACGGATGACACATTCACTCTGTACCCCAAAACAAATACGAAGTTCTCCGTGGGGCGTGATGGGAATACCGGCTATTAAAGCGCAAGGTGCGCGCACGTCCGTCTGAGTGACGGGCCGAGGCCCGGCCGGGGCTCGGCGCAGCCCCCGCGCAGGCCCTCACGTCCCCGGCACCGCGCAGCACCCCGAAGCCCACCTTCAGCGGCTAACGGGGTCCTCAGGACAGGCCGGCGGCTGCTCCGCTCCAGCGGCAGCCGAACCCCCGCGTCCCCGCGGCCGGGCCGATGTCACCATGGGCGGGGCTGACGCGCGGAGCCGCCGAAACCTGTTAGTACCACCCCCCGCACACTTTCAATGGGACAGAAAGGCTCCCCGAAGGTAAGGGCGACGCTCTCAACCCTCAGTTCCCACTAGAGACGAGGAAGTGGTGATGTGGCCGTGAGACGCGGCAGGGCCACAGGGAGATTTTCAAACCCCCCCCCGGGATTGAGTCCTACCCAGGGAGAGAGATCGTCCCCCTCTTTCCGCCTCCCGGCCGGCTCCTCCTCGGGACACTCGGCCGAGTCTGTCTTTCCCTCCGGCCCACGCCGAGGCGAGGCCGCACGCAACCCCCGGACGCCCGCTTCTCTCTTCGCGCGGAGAGAACTCCACGGGTAGGAACCCGGGGGGCAGGACGGGAGAGGGCGGCTTTGTGGGGAGGCAAAGAAAGCTCGTCAGGCACGAGCCGGGCCGGGGTGGGGAAGGGACAGGCGGGCCGCCGGGCCGACCGCGGAGGCCGAGGTGACGAGGGAAATCTGCCGGCCGGGAGCCGGGACCCAGAGCTTCCGGCGGGCCACAGTCGCTCTCGGCCTAGCGCGGCTGGAGTCCCGAGCTCCACCGGGGCGGGCAGGTAGTTAGTAGAGAGAGTAAAGTGGGGCTCGCACTTGCCTGGGATCGGGTGATCAATAGCTGGTAATAGTCTTTGCTCGGCGCCGGGCCTTGTCCTAAGATTTCGTAGAGAGTCTCTGGCAGCCACGACGCCATCTTGGGACGCCACCGTCGTCGCTAAGACAACCAGGAAGGGGCGGGGTTTGGTTGGGGTCATGAGGCCAAAGCCCTAGTTTAAATCGAACTCCGCTTTTGCGCTGGCAGGGCGTTTCTAACTTGGGGCGATGTCCCCCTTCTCCAAGGGTCTCAGGGAACGCAGATCTGTGAAATTTCTACCTCAGGTCTCCGGTGACCCGAAAGGGAATTAGTTCCTGCTGCCACGGGGGGGGCGGGGGGTGACCCCGGCGGAGGGATATCAAGTGAGCTGCCCATTCCCCTTCCTGGTCCCTCGAAGGGATCGGGAGGAGGTCGCCGGCCGCCGGGGAAGTCGGTCGG